AAAAAAAAAAAAAAAAAAAAAAAAGGTGGGCGGGACCAGATTATGGGTGGTTTAAAATCCAGGTATTCCAGCGATCTTCTCACAGGAAATAAAGAGGAACCATTTTAGTTTCTTGAGAATGTGGTCTGAGCAAGGTAGAGAAATGGGGAGGTCGGGCTGTGCAAAAACAATCCCCGAAGTGTAAGACTACTTCGCCTCTCTCCGGAAAGATGTTCCATACGTGAATGTTCATTTAAACGTGGGGGTGTTCAGCAACAGACGCGACCCACACCTGGAAACCCGGAGTGGGGCCCACGCACCAAGTCTCTGATGGTTTAGTCGCAGTCTACAATGTTACTGACCGGTTAACCCAATTTAACTAAGTGTCCGCAGTTCGCTCACTGGATTGTTATGCTGGTGACTGGGCCTTGTTTCACAGAGAACAAAAACATGGGAAAAGGTGAGAGGACGATGAGAAAGTGAAAGGGAGAGAGGTGGGGAAGGGGTTAGGTGCGAGTGGGGCTGCCAAGGTCAGGGCGAGGTTGAGGGTCGGCAGTCGGGCGGCCCTCAGGGGCCCCCCCTCCGGGGTTGGCGCTTCGGGCGCTGCGCGTGTGCTTGTAGGCGGGGCGCCGGAGCGGCCGCGGGCGGCCAATCCGGGCGGGCGTCCGGGGAGGGGCGGGGCTTGCCGGCTCGGGCTACGCGAGTCCTCCTTTTTGCACACACACGAATACAAAGAGCCATACGACCTTCGGGTATCCTTTTTCCATTTTTTTCCTCCTTAATCTTGTGTGTGTTTTCAAATTTTTTAAAAATAGAGATCTGTAGCAGTGCTGGGGTGAGGAAACTGTTGCTAAGGGGAATTTGCTCTTTCCCCCATTTCTTTTTCTGTCTCTCTTCCTCTTTCTTTTTCCTGGTAAAGGTTTTAAATATACCAAGAAGTTGAGAAGCAGGATGGTCGTGTACAACCGTTTCCAGCCAAATTTATAGTTTTTTCTTTCTTTTTTAAAATCACGTTTTAAGAACTGGTAAATTTTTGTGGTTGATGGACTTTAAAAATTTAGTCGCTTGGGAAGTATAGATTTTTTTAGTCGGGCTGAAGGGATAATGTAAATTTCTGCTACAGGCAGCATCGAAGGAAGCAGAGAGAGATTTGAGGCTCCCTCACAAAGCCGTTTGCGTGCTTTTTACACACCCAACCCCAAAACCAAAACCAAGTGGCTGGGATGTGGCAATTGTCCAAGGCCAATAGGTTAATACTGGGATATTATAATGGAGACATTCATATCCCTAGGGAAGGGGGAAAGACCTTCTTACAGTGTGTCTTTCGTACACATTTTCATTAGAACATTTGTGTGTGTGTGTGCTTGTGTTTGAACCAAATAATTTTGTAAAGTTATAACTTTGGGGTTATTTTTTGTGTATATGTACAACATGTGTGTATATGTGCCATATCAGATTTTATTTTCAAAAGTGATAAATATCTCTGGTTTTATGTGTGCAAAGTATCCCCTAGGATGTGAATTTTTTTTCTGTTGTCTTCCCAAATGTGATCAAAACATTTTGTGTGCAAAGCAGAGCTTAGAAGAAGTCCTATGCTTAGCATATTTAGGCACTTTCTACGTACATTTACTATATTTTTTCTGCTCCTCAAGGATCAGAATGAATAATTAAGTAATTGCCAAGGAGTATATAGTCCCTGTGGCAAATGAGAGTAGGCAATTTATTGAACCTGTTGTTCAAAGCTTTCAGTGACTGTTTTGCCTAAGTGGTTTTAATTTTTATTGTTTCATGTTCTTAAATGTACAGTTGTGTATATTTTGGCCTTTATGTGTGGTTTGGTTGGTATGTTCAGAAGGGAGGTTATTTCTTGGCTTTTTGAAAAAATGATTGTTTATTGGTTGGAATTTATTCGAAAAGCTCCACAGCTAGCAAAGTATTAGGAAAAAAATCCAGTCAAGTTTAATTCTCAAGAACTGTTCATGGTGAGGATGATGGGGAGCCAAGAGGAGGCAAAGGCAAATAACAGAAGGGATAAAAAATGCCTTTTGGTTATCATGTTGCATTTTTAGAATGAAAAGCATTCTCCCCATTTCTGAGAGTCACAGAAAAAAAGTATGTGAATTAGACAAAAAAAGGCTCTCAGAGCACAGCCTCCTGTTTTATAGGAGCCCTATTCTCACTTTATTCTAGTATCCAAATTTGTATTTGCAGATTGAAGTGAAAACATAGGACGTATATGGGTTGTTGAGGGAGAAACTGGAATGTCACAAATGCAGTAACAACCAGAAGATTAAAAAAAGGATCTACTGTGGAATTTAAATTTCATTACAACAAAACCTCTGTATAATAATGCATTTCTATTACTCAGCTAGCATCCTACTCTATTTCAAGCAGTATTTGACTCCTGAATAGCGACTGCAATAAAATTACTTGTACAAATTTATAACAAAAGTGACCCTGTTTGGGCTTTCTGGGTTTCTTGCTTGTGCTAAAGTATATTTTTATTCTCTAACAATTCAAGTCAGACCAGTGCTTAATAAATACTGGCTCTACTGTGGATCATTCAACAGGTTCAGACCTGCATTTCTTTGAAATCTAGTCAGATTCTAGTGACTTTTGTGATCTCAGTAGTGATGGGAATTTTTTTTTTTT